CCCGGCTACCGCGTCAACCTCGGCGAGATGGAAGCAGAGATGATGCAAGCGCTGAGGATCCTGAAGGCAAACCGGTGGATCGACCCGTACACGGCTACTCTCGTGCTGGACCTGACCCTGTACCACGTCAACGCCAACCTGTTCAGCACGGTGTCCCTGCTTTTTGAGTTCCCGCCGTCAGCGGGTGCCATCGCGACCCTCAAAGTGTCCACATTCCCGCTGACCGCGCAGGGCATGGCCCCCACCATTCTTTTCGTGGCCAAGGCAGTGTTCGTCGCCTGCCTCCTGTACGTCATCATCCGGCTGGTGAAGAACGCACGTAAGGAAGGAAGGTCCTTCATCCTCCAGGTCTGGACCATCGTGGAAGTCGCGTCGGTCGCGACGTCACTCTACGTCATCGGGGCGATGGCGTCGAAGGACGCGTTCGCGGGCAAAGCAAAGTCACTCATCAGCCAAGAACTGCATAAGGGTGCGTAGTTTGCCGTCTACATTCTATACATATTTCTGCTTTAATTATTATTGGAATGTTGTTTGAAGAGGCAATCTTTTAAATAATATCTTGACCTGGCTAATTATTTTCATTTTCAGAACAACGCAGTTTCGTGGACCTGACCGATGTGGCCTTCTGGACTGACCAGTTCATCGCCGCCGTCGCCATGGTGATCTGGCTGAACCTGGTGAAAATCTGCAGCCTGTTGAGGGTCAGCGCCCGGGTTCGCACATATCTAGGTTAGTACTGATAGGGCGCTGGCAGTCACGTATTCTTAGCGGCCGCAATGATGTCAGTGGGCCTCGGTGGGCACCTATGTCTTATTTGTATTTGTCCCTTTTCCAGATACCCTCATCAACATCCGCATGCAGCTGCTGGGCAGCCTGGCCATCTTTGTCCTCACCGTCACGGGCTTCAGTATGCTAGGTGAGTTGGTGGTCTATACGTATCACTACAAATAAAGCATGACAAGACAACACATTTTCTTTTTCATTCTATTCTTAGCTTTACGCAACAGTGTCACCTTCAGATTTTTTCCGGCTGCATTGTATTCCTACTACCGGATGAGATATACATACATGTACATGCCAGCATTCGATCCGTTGCTAGCGGACACTTGGTCACTCTCTCCCATTTTTTGTCTTCACAGGCTATCTCCTGTTTTGCCCGTACGTGGAGACCTTCCGGTCCCTGTCCGCCGCCACAGTCGGCCTGACGTTCCTGCCTTGGGGAGAGGTGAGCTATGACGTGCTCGCCACGCCGAGCGAGTTGGTGGGACCGCTGTTCCTCTTCGCGTCCGGCTTCACGATCATGTACCTGATGCTCAGCTTCACGGCAGGCGTGTTCGTCAGCGCTACCTCCGCCATGATGGGGGAGAAGGGGCGGGGCAAGATCGCGGCGGCACAGCAGCGGAAGAACAGGCGTGCCAAGGCCGCTCGCGAGGCCAGGGTCGCCGCGGCTCCAGCGCGTAACACACTGCACTATTGCAACTGCGATGAGGGTAACGAGTATTTTGGTCAGGCCCATACAGCTGAGACCCAAGTCTAGATCAGAATGGATTCAAGACCACTTGTGATGAACCTTTGTTCGGCTGTACAATAGTATTGTTCACCATTAATTGAGACTAGACCATGTTTTGTACAGGTTCACGCAGATGACTCTCGAAAAAGTTTGAATGAGAAGGTTGGTCAACACATAACTTGTGACTAAGGCGTATCTTGCGTAGATTGTACGGCTGTACAATACTGGTATTGGCCTTTGTAATCGGGAAAAGGAGGTCATGAGATTTTGTTAATTAGACTGACTTTACTGAGCCCGATGTCGGGCTGGTTTGAGATCACTTGTTAATAATTCATTAACACATACATTGTACGGCTGTACAATGCTATTGACACCTTTGATGTGCTAGGTAAAGGTACAAAGCATGACACTGTGTATATACTAGTATAGTAAGTTTGCATTCATGCAATACCTTTTTAATTTTATCGTCCACTATCCACGGATTATTGATTTCTTATAGATGTAGAACAAATGTCTGGCTTTAAATGCACTGGAAACCGAAACAATCAACGACATATCTGATGTAAAGACTGATTGGCATTTGAATTTTTCAAAAGAAGCAGTTATCACCACTGAATTAACTAACCGAATTTAACAAGGGATGTTCTTGACTTATTGCGGAGACTACAATGTAAATATTGTTTATCAATGTTGATATTTTTGCATGCTAACGAGAGTGATCTTATCAGTGTTCTATTCCTATTGAAATCTTAAGTTCCATTGCATACATAAGTCTATTGCTGCGCCATAGTTAAGACCAAGTCTATTCAAGTCTTGTTTTAGGAGAATGTGGTTAAGATACTGGCCACAGTATTCAACGCTGCGACATTTTAAGGTATAGAAATAAAAAAAACAACAGCAAGATTTCTTATTAGAGGATTGAACAATATTAATACATGAAATTTGTGGAAACGGATCAGGGTGTGTCATTCACACGACGTAAAATCAAGAAAATTGAATGTTAATGTTATCTGCAAAGTTTCTGTTTTGTAAACAAATCAAAAGTTTAAATACATAAATTACATATTTATATAAAAGCAACGTTCATATTTGGGGTCAAACACGTAAACTGGATGCTAAAGGCTTGCTTGTATGAAGACTGCTATAAAATAAATCTTGAAAAAGCCAATCTTTGTCATGCTTCATGTCAATTCGATCCTCTTTGCTACAAAGGAAATAGAAACATGTTGGCTTTCTTTGGGCAGTCACGGGTATCAGTGAGAGGGGAGGTGTACCTTTACTTATGCATTGTGTCCTGGTAAGTGCTTCTGTCCCAAAAGGAAGTCTTGTAAGTTTGGGGGTATACATACGCCAAGGTGCCGACAGACGTCTTGACACTTGTCTCCACTACCAGATTATAGACAAAAGTTAGGAAAACACAAATACTTGAAGTATGTCCTTCACAACTATAAACATATAGTAGAGATTCTAAAAATGGCATACTGTAAAAATACGTTAAAACAACCCATACAAACTCCATGTAGCAGCTTATCTAATGTCAAAGTCTCAATAATAGTGTGACTGTCCATGAAGTGTGATGTCGCAAAGACTGAAGAAACGTCTCCTGGTGATATAAGGCATCAGACTTAATGACATTAAAGTCGGAGTTTGCGACAATTAAGCCACGCCAGATAGGTCGTTATGCCTTTTCCCTGGCTCGGGTGGCATTTTAAGGGAGAAATGACGCATTGACACTGCCATTCTACAGCCATTGGAACTAATAGAATCATCCACATGTTCCAGGTACTGATAGTGTACGGAGGACGTTGAAGAATGTCGGTCAGATTGAGGTGCACCATGTTTGTTTCTGCTCCACGATCACACAAATTAACCCACTGCGGGAAATGACGAAGTGGTGGCCTTTAGACATTTAAAGAAGCGTCAGTTGAATAGCTGCCCGTTCGTCTTCTGCCAAATATGAAGTTTTCTTATCATTAGATGTGTGGCAACACATATTAAGTCCTGTTATCAGACCAACACGGCTAGGTAAAAATTACTGTGATGTGGTAATTTCTTACGTCTTTCTTCTTAAGAGATTCCGACATAATAGGGGGTTCTTAACTGCATCGCGAACTAAACGAGTACAACCTCTTAAAGTACATGCAAATTACACATTAGCAGAGTTAATGCTGGGGAACCGCATTTCTTATCTTGGGAGACGCACGACTGTAAAAGCCACAAAAGAGCGGGATGAAGCTAGAGAACTCCACTAAGTCTCCAATCATACATGATAGCTCCATTAGAGACCAGCTATTCCCGGTGCGTACGCATGCTGACTTATGGGATTATGAAGGCTTAGTGGAAAGCCTCATGTTATTTATGTCAGCCCCTTTTGACGCACGTCACGTAGGGTACCCCAATCCTCCTTTTGTGCCTACGTCGTTCTTAATTCTCCTCTCTGTCGATCTTCTCAATCCAGATATATTTTAATTGATGTACCGCATTAACGACGTCAGGCAGGTAAATGAGCTCAGGTGTGTAATTATCTTCGCGGGTTATCTTATCGTCCAATACATGATTCTAAAGTTCGTAGGTCTTTCTTCTTAATTCAGAGATTCCGACGTAATAGGTCTACTCTTTCATACGACATACTACTGATACACAAACCGCTTAGATTGACTCCCAGGCCTAAACGTAACGAGCCTTCACAGGAAGCTTGAGCATCGGCCTGCAGTCACATAATCACATCATTGCGTAAAGACGCCAGTCTCAGTCGGTCTCTTCATGTGCATGTGTAGATTCCAGGAGGTCCGATGCCGCTGGAGTTGAAAGCTTTTTTGATCCGTCGCCAAGTCCTTAACCATCACGGTACTCTATCAATGAATAGAGGATGTAATGACTCACACAGGTGGGAGCAAAAGGGATGGAGCAGCTAAGAAGGATGGTTGGGACCATGATGTTTGCGTCATACGTAGTGCCGGTCTGGGAAAGATTTCATGAAGTACTTTCCTCATCTTCAACGTTATAAAATGAATAGATTAATTTTCGTCGGTACATTCATGATAAAAAAAAACTTTCAAACACGTCTCCAGTCTGATACTAACATGTGACATTTACCATATCGACAGACAGAGCTCGTTCCAATATCAACTTGTTCAAATTCGTTATCGAAAGTTATCGCGACCCGGGTATGAATGATATGACAGATGGCAGATTTCTCATGAACTCACTGTGTGTTCACCTTTAAGTTAACACGGAGCGGACACCTTACGAACCGCAACACGGCAAATAGACTGAAACTCCCGCCCATGTCGCAGATATTTAAAAACTCCAAATGTCACTCACCTTTCTGACGGGAAAACCACCATTCTGGGAGCGGTGGTTCTTTCGGTTCTGATTTTGATATAGGTGTTCGAAATAGAACAGTGAGTTCGGCGTGTTCGATCAGGAACGGCCTACCTGTACTGTGCGTTTTTAAAGTTTCAACCCTCGGGCGTTTTAAGGTCTCGCGCTGTAATTCTGGCCGATACAACCGGTTGTGCGGGTGCAGTCTGTGGGTATCCTGATCGGAGCACACGTCCCGTCCAACTATTTTGTTTTGTCGTAGGTTTTTCAGCGTGTCCCTGACACAATCGGTCGTCTGAGACAACCTTCTACGTCACCTCACAGCCACGACGTCCCACGAATGGACTGGAGTTGTTGTGGTAAGCCCGTCGCACGACGGACACGACAGGGCCATTAAAGGGGCGGGGTACGCATAGGGGTATGCAAGGGGCAACGTACGTAATCCGCAGAAAAATGGCCGAGTGCAAGAACAGGAGGTGGAAGATATTCACGTTATTCCTGGCAGGACTGTTCGTCTTAACCTGCTACACCTTCAGCGCCTGTGTCACCAGCATACAGGTGCGTTCGTTCACGACATCAATGTGGCAATTTCATGTAATTAGAATGTAGGCCCTGACGTAATACAGCAGACTGGCCTGTCTTACTTTAAGCAGGGTTGCCAATTTTATCATACGTGCACGTTGATAACGTTTACACTATGAAGAAGTGGTGAGAGCATGCAATGTTTGGACTCAACATTTGCACTCATTTGTTTTTGTGCACCGTAATAACAAGTCTTGTAAATCATTTACACATAATACGTTCACAGGTCGTGCAGACAATACATCGAATGATGACCTCAGGGGTATAGACTGATGATATAGCAGAACATACGTAACGTTATATACTTTTATGACAAGATTAACACCTAGAAATGCAAAAATATATACGTAGCCGTTTCCATATTGATATTACTGATAATGTTGATGGACGGCCACCGGTACAGTTCCATTTATTGACTAAATTTATCTTTAAGTTATTCTTAAGATTCTGTTCACTACTCAGCTCAAATTGCAAATCGTTAATATAGTAAATATAAAACTTCACGACACTACTAGCACTTTGTTAACATAAAGGCCACTATTAAATTGACTTTCATCTTGTACTGCTTTCAGAATCAAATGCTTCGCAAGAACGACTACCGACAGTCCTTCTCACGGCATCTGACTTCTCAAACCAACCCCACCATTCACAACCTGAATCCGCGCGCAAACGGAAACCACTATGGGTCCAACCGGCCCTGCCAACCATTGGACTCAGCCGTTACCACCTACACCATACTAAACAAGCAGGACAGACACGTGCTCGGCTCTCTCCTGCACTTAAAGCTAACGACCAGGAACAGGACGGGTTCTCCTCGCACGTGCGGTGGGGACTTCTTCCAGGCGAAGCTCTTCTCTCCGAAACTGAACGCCAGCACCGCAGGAAAGATTGTAGACCACCAGAACGGCACCTACAGTATCAGCTTCCTGCTGGGCTGGACGGGACGTGCGTTCTTATCGGTGACGCTAGTGCACCCACGGGAGGCGTTACAGGGACTCAGGAAAGTACGAGAGACCCCAAACACAGGATATCTCTTCAACGGGACGTTCTACGACCACAAGGAAGTTCTAGACGAACAGAAATGTTACAGTAGCTACGAAGACGGGTTTGATAATGAAGAAGACTACTGTTCATACACCAAACCCAAGGCGAACGTTTCCTTCTGGTGCAGGAGACCGAAAAAGAAGAACGTCGGCTGCGAACAGCTCGCGTTCGTGGTCTCAGACTTGGCCAGCAAGGACAAATATGACGAGGCCAACGGCAAACTTCTCAATGAGGAGGAGTGGTTGTACTTCAGAAAAGGGTACAACAGTTTATTTCTACTTCAAATTAATCTGCGTAAATACAGTCTATTTAAAATATCTTGCCAATGATTTCTTTACCCATCTCATTTCCCATCTATTGTAATTGTATAAATTGCTGACAGTTTTCCATAGATACATGTGGTACAATAGTTCTCGTAATCTTCCTTTTGTATTCCTATCCTGGAGACAAACTATAGTATCATTAATTCCTTTTTCCTGCAGACAGTATTTTCAAGTTGAGATAGCTGCAGAGGACGGAATGAATGAAGTAATTGTTGTACAAAAAGGTAAGAAACAAAACTTTCTTACTGTATTTTAAGAGATTACAGTATTTGTCAAAGTAATTCCATTCTGGATTAGCGCAAACAAATCAATCTTTTCATAAAGCCACCTCGTTTCAGCCAGATGAACGATTTGTATCATTTGTCCCACGAACAGAACTGGTCAGCTGCGCCAAACCTCTCGGCTTGACTAGCGGGTCTATCCGAGACGCCCAGCTGTCCGCCTCCTCGGCGGTGCCCGGGTATGAGGCGCACCGTGCGCGCCTGCACGGCCAGCGGGCATGGGAACCCGCCAGTAAGAACACTTCTCAGTGGCTGCAGATAGACCTCAAGGTGCCAAAGGTAAGTCCTTGAGGTTGTGTAACAGGTGAGATGAAAGAAGTTTCCAAATGTCAGCCATCAGATACCAGGATATTCAACGAGAAAGGAGAGAATGAGGGAGACAGCGTGCCGCCGAATTTCATCCCACGAACATCAACATTAATGTACATAGCTTGCAGCATTGGTCTAAGTCATTTGCTACGCTACGAACTCAATACAACGTATTGTGACGTTTTCCTCTCTTCCACCTGTATTGAGGAATGATGGTATTGCCTGATGATTGGTCCTTCATCTATACCAACTTACTCATGTATCGTGGATCATAGATATACTGCGAATCTGACCCCTGTAACATTTGTCATTCCAGGTGATCACGGGTATCCAGACTCAGGGCTTGTGGGGAGGGATGGTGCCAGCCTATCACCTAATGGTGTCTGATGACGGTCAGACATGGACCAAGGGTAGTGAGGTAGGTACAGAACATCACGAAACTGGCCAAAGCTCCTGATCAATGGGTCTCATGACCTTCATTGATATTATTAGGTAACGTTACACCATATATAGTGTTTGACGTGTTGATATATTAGCATATTATAAAGTCATGGGCAGATGGGCAGGGAGTAATGGTATAAGGCTTCACCATAATTTTACAACTCTGCTTTTTACATGATTAAGATTAAAATGTAAACTTCAGCCTACAGTGCTATTTTGATGGACCCATTCAAGATGTACAAACAACATGTACATGTACATCACAAAGTGTATGATTATGCTATGTGATGTACCATCTTATTACCCTGCAAATCGTCCCTCGCGGCCACATATTACTCGCGTCGCTCAGAGAAAAAATAACGCCGACGCCCAACAAGACTGCGAAGGAGGCTACCATCTTATATGGGTTCATCAAAATAGCACTGTGGGGTGAAGTAACGTTGACATTTCAATCTTTATCATGTAAAAAGCAAAGTGACTTTGCTTTTTACATGATAAAGATTGAAATGTCAACTTCATGCATACAACTTGTGTTTTATATATATATATTGATTTGTGGATTTTACCACTGTGGTAAAATCCACAAATGAATAAAACAAGTTGTATGCTCCAGATGATGTGAAGACCTGCAAGGCTAACAACTAGCAGGTTCGTAATACATGTATGATGAATATGGGTCTATTTTTCTCCAGACATTTGATGGGACTGAGGATGGCATCAGTATTACAGAGGAGGCGCTCGCCCCTCCAGTAGTCACCAGGTTCTTCAGGATCTTTGCTGCAGCTTCAGATCTGCCTCGGCTGCGCATGGAACTCCTGGGGTGTGACCAGGCTTCACAGTTCCGGGATAATTGTACGTAGGTTACCAATGTCACTGTTCATCAAACCTAAGCCCACTATACATGAAGCAAGCCATTCAATTCATCCATAGATTTAATTTTTTATTAGACATTTCAGGCATTTGGACTTAACTTCCAACATGTAGTGGCCATGCATCCCTGTAGTGTGTTAGAGAAAAATGTTGAGAAGAATTTTTTTCAAAATTGATGACTTGTAAATCCTTACTAGTACCAAGTACCAAGCTGAACTTTATGGTTTGCAGTATGATACCTTAAAATTGAAATTGTAAGAACATTTTAACATACCATGTCCCCAGATGTACCACAGACGTTCCTCCACCAACACGGACCACCACCAGGCCTGCCGCCGTGTGGCCCGAACCTCCCGGTCTCACAGTCTGAGGGGTACTTCTACCAGGACGTGTGGTACTCCACAGCCTGCCGGGCTGCCAGCTGGCTGACCAGGCCTTATGTGGAGACATGTCTGCGGAACAGGACGGTCCTACTGCAGGGTGACTCCACCGTCAGGCAGCTGGCGGGGGAGCTGGAGACACTGCTGGGAGCCAGGGACCACTACCGCTGTCAGGACTACAAGGAAGAGGTGTTTGTTCAGATCTAAGTTTCCACACCTGTCCTTAGTCAATCTTCATTGTGCACATTCAGATCAAGGTTACAAGTGCCCTTCTTTACCCAAACACGTAAAAAACATGTCAACTTTACATATAAAACTATTGCCTATTACCAATCCAGAATAATAAAATCTTGACCTACTCTCAAAATAAAACACTACAGAGCAACAGCATAGAACAGCACAAAACGTAGAAGACTTTACCTGATACCAGCTGTTGTGCTTGCTACATCTACAGGTGGAAGGTCGGTACCCGGAGTCCCTGAGGCTGTACGTGTGGACTGGCCCAATCGCGGTTTGCCAAAAACTGGACAAGAAGGTGGTGCTGCAGTTCCGCTTCCACCACTTCCCGGTTCGCGCAGGTAAGACGTCACAGTGACATCCTTCATGTACGTCACTATAATTTAGATCTCTTATTATGTGTCCAACCTTCATCACACATATATTCATTCCCCACAGGGAGTCAGGTGGAGCTGGCAAACCTGCGCACAATTGTTTACAAGCTAAACACCATCCATCCAGGTGAAAATGCAGTTGTCCTGCTGTCACTCTGGGCCCACTTCACGGACGACCCTTTGGAGCAGTTTGAGGCCCGCCTGTGGGCCATCCGAGCAGCAATCGAGAAGCTGCACAGACGCGCTCCACAGACATTGGTCATCTTCAAAAGCCCAAATGTGAGAGACCAACTCTACCTGTCTAAGGTCTTAATGAGCAGTGACTGGCTAGCTTACGACATGTGGAGAAGGCTTAAGGAAATCATGGCAGGGCTTAACGTGGCTTTCTTAGACATTTGGGACATGTCCGCCTGCCATCATTCAGTCCCACAACTGCACCCAGCAAAGGAAGTCACAACCAATGCTATTGCCTTGTTATTGTCATACATTTGCCCTATGTAGCAACTGTGGATGGAAAGTTGTCATTGTCTGTGCCTATAGCCACTGCGAAGCCAAGATCTGCCAGGCCTTTCCATAAAATTTGGCAAAAATAGTCAACAATGAACTCTGGTGGCTGTGAAACTCCCCTGACAAATTGTTCTCCCTGGACCTACATTCCTTAGCAGACTCCTGAGGCGGCTGCATTAATTTTTTTCGGGGCGCAACTCTCAGAAGTCTGCAAATTACGTTACATTGCTAGTTTGTTGGAGACTACTTTTTTCTCAGGTTTTAAGAGCAACCTAAGAGTAGATACCACTTGAAGTGAAAATTGTTACTACCTCATAACATTTTAGATGTTTGCCGATTCTACCTCATACTGATTGAACATAATATAATGTACATGTTGTATAATGAAATCTTTGGCTACCTTATTTAGTCGGCAAGACAACATTATAATTCAAGCTATCTAGAGAGAAATACAAACAGTACTATAGATAGGTTTTCCCGATGTTTATTTACAAAACAAGAGAGTAACATAGCAAGACTCATAACTTGCAGTACAAAAGTACACAATGACCCTGTTTCCAACATGAAGAGGTAATCCAGTTGAACCTACCCTGAGAACTCTGTGAGGCAGCGTGTCAAGAGTGATACCCTGTCCCCAACTCGGACCCCCCTCCCACTATCTGCCAGGCCCATAGATTCGCTTGCCTCAGTTGTTTTCCTGCAAGTGCGCAAGCTCTCTGCACACAGCCTCTCGAGTTTGTTTCCCAGGGTAAGTTGAGGCTTGCAAAATTGATCAAGTACCATGGTATTTCCCAAAACTGTCTACTAGTACCTGAACTTTTTATCTTATCATACGTTGTATGTGGGTGGGTTTGGAATTGGACATCAGTAAAAAAAATGTTATATAATGAGAACCAATCGTTAACAGAACTTTTTTTTTATGTGTGTTGGTATTTTGGGAAATACAAACTACCAATCTTGGCTTTGTTCCTTTTTTCCAGAAAAAGTTGAGGTGCTTACAATGTTATCATGGAATGTTATCATCTCAATCCATCTCCAAGTGTCTGTTTCCTTAATAAACAAGAGATCTTCACTTTATCTCAGTACAAAATCTGGTCAATGATTTGGATGTTTAGTTATAATGGTCTTACACACACACATACATGTTCACATCTTTGCAAGTATGTAGTTTGGTGTGCATGTAGATACAGAGCACAAAGAACACAATTAAAAAGCTACACCAGATTTCTTTCCTTTTCTGAGATTCAAGATGAGATTATGAGAAAAACAGCAACAAAAATGTGTGGTCGTTTCAACCCAAAAGAAGCCAAGTAAATGCACTTTAACACGTTATCTTTGCATGGGTGTTTCCTTCTTATCATTTTCCCTGCAAAAATGTATTGCGATCCACAGAAAGAAATTGGTGTGCGCTGATGAAATACTGAATATGGTTAAAAACAAGAACAACAAACTTTACCAACAAACAAATCTATTTCTTGAGGCTTCTTCACACGTCCCTCTACATCCTCCTCCACTTGTACTAAGGTGAAAGTAACATCCAAACAAACTGAACCTCTGTAAATAATAGTTCAGTCACCGGGAGTCTTTGTGTCTCCAGGAACCATCTCACTTTCATACCAGTCTCTTTGGCCACAGCTGTCCTCTCCCTTCTTAACTCACTTCTCCCTATAAAAAAGACCATGGGAAGAAGTGCTTAGGTAAATCAACAAAGAGTACATTTTCAGCTGTGGTTTTACACCAAAAGCAGTTATACCAGCTATACAGATACAGACGCTTATAGCTTGAAATTTCATCTAAGTTGGTAAATTTCAAAAGAGAATTAAACTCAAAGAAATTGGAATTTTTTACCAAATTCGCTACACTGAGAGTGGTTAGATCAGCTATACAGATACAGAAGCTGGTGCATTATACTGTGGGTGGTACAAGACAGATACCAGCTCAAAATTATACAGCTTTTGAAGAAAATCAAGCACAGGCAGATCCTAGTGCTACAAAACAAGGACCAAAGTTGAGCTCACCCCAGCCCCAGGTCGTGCAGCTGCCACTCCAGCTCCATCAGCTCTGCCTGCAGAGCTGCCTTTGTCTGGACCTTCGCCTTCTGTAGGGAGGAAACAACAACTTATACATGTGTCCATGAAGGTTAGACATTCACGTCATAAAATATGCAAGGAAATTGTTACGCAAGCAACTGAGGTTCTGAAAACTGTCAGATGTTTCAAGTAGTCTCCGCTGCTTTTCGTCAGTGAGTATAAAGGTACTTAAACCGTCAGTTTTCAAAATCTATCGTATTGATCGAGTAGCTATTTTCTTGTGTTAGAGTTTCTACACAGACTGGTAATACTCCCTAGTACTGTAGTAGTTCTCAACTTTTATTGACTGGGAAGGGGGCCTAACTGAGAAGTCTGCAAACAAATGTCTGGTATCACCTGTAATGGTGACCGTATGGTTTAGAAACTGTATCAACCACTGACAAATTGTTCATTGACAAACGTACCTCCTTCTCGCTCAGCTGCCTCCCCTGACCAGTGTTAGCCTCCAGAGCTGCGATCTGAGCCAACTTCTTCTGAAGCTTGTAAAGCCTCTTCTTCTTAGAATCACCTACCTTCTGTAAAGGAACAATAGTCTATTGTTATCATAGTCTCCATAGTACAGGAAAAATGAAAGACCTGCTTTTTGGAATCACTTACAGACTACAGGAAACATGCTTTTTTTATCCATCAACAACAAAAGGAGATGGTAGACTTCACCTCTTTACCCATGCTGGAAATGCACAAAAACTAAACTACTTGTGTGCTGATATCTGTACTTAAAAAAAAAACTAATAACTCATCACCTCGTCAGACACTTCAGTCTGGGAGTCGGAGGCAGAAGAAGAGGGGGAGTCAAAGCAGGGAGGGGGAGGGGGGAGGGAGGAGGCAACGGCTGCACCGCAAGGACTGCTGTTGCCGTTTGTCAGGCCTTCCAGTTCTGGAATGCTTCCTGCAAGCGTGAAAAAGGACATCAATTTTGTTTAGAACTCGTAACTTATGCTATGATTATATGAAGAAACGACTTAGGGCCTGATGCCGAAAAGTAAGGGAGCCATAAATATTACCAGCCCTTATGTTAAGTACATCTAAATCTAGGAGGTTTTTTTTCCCTTAAAAGGAAATTCAAACATCAATCTGTCTGGCAAAGATGTTGTCTTGAGGACACTTGAGTTACTTCTCACCTGTAGGATTCAGTAGGAATGTAGCTGATAAACAACTGAGGTTGCAGGTAGCAAAAAATATGTCATTGTGATCTACCTACTTGACGAAACAAAATAATAAAGCCTGCGTTACCATTGGAGCTGCTCCTGGCTACAGCCTGTCCCACAGTTGGCTGAAGCATCTGCCTGTACCCGGACAGGCCCCTCCCACGCCCCAGGCACATCAGCAGCTCAGCGTCGGACAGCGGACGGGTGCTGGGGGGAGCCATGGCAGCAGCGGACACCCCGTTACTGTGGCCGTTGGTAACTGCCTGGTTCTGTGGCATCTGTGCTGTGGCTGGGGTGATGCTGTGACCATTGGTAAAACCCTGGGTGTGTGACACTGCTGCTTCTACAGTTGGGGTACCATGGCCGTTGGTAAGGCTCTGGTTTTGCATGGTTGTGCTGTTGTAACCGTTGCTCATCGCCTGATGTTGTGGAGCTGGTGCAGCTGCGGAATCCCCAAAGATGTTGGCAGCAATCCTTGGCCCTGAGAAAAACAAAAACACAGTCAAACATCTTCCATAAAAAACACACTATTTCTAGGCGGGTACAGTATAGATAGGAAGCTAGCTATTCCAGGGTCAATCTACCAAAAAGTGGTCAGTATGGATGGGTGGTGCTTGTGCAGTGGTGATCACTTGTAAAAACAGAAACATGAACATCCTATAACAAATTATCTATTTTTTGGAAACTTAAGATTTTGAGCCTTCAGATTTCCATGCCAAACTGGCATGTTGACAGGATTCAAGCTGTTTTGTCAAGGTCATGACTATGGTATCCAAAGTCATGGGATCACCCACCTGGCCTTTTGATTGGTGGAGGCCCTGCTGACCTCTGACTCATCAGCAGACCCCGCCCGACCCCGCCCATGTTCAGGGAGTACGTCAGGTTATCTGGAAAAACAACAGACAAAAAAAAAGGTTAACACCAGTCACTTCGCACTTGAAGAAGAATACAAAGTTGGAGGTTGAATATGTAATACAAAATACACATACATCAGATTCTGTCAGGTGTCAGACAGTTCAGATCACATCTATAAGCTTTTGTCAGTGACTGAGAATGATTAATTTCATACACACACATACACACATGCACACAACTCACTCACACATGCAGACACATTCACACATGCACACACACAGTGGTACACTAACAAACACACAGATACAAACAAAAACAGTGACACGCACACACACACACACACAGATAATCCAAAGGTCCACTGACTTGGCTGTGCAGGCTGGATGCCTTGCTGGACTGTAGGCTGCTGCGGAAGGAGGCAGGCAGCAGCACCAAAGTTCTGTGGGATTCGCAGTTTGGTGGAGTTGGCACCAGCTGCCCCATTCACCAGTGCTGCACTGTGAGAATGTACAGCATAACAATAGTTACTAGACTGGCAGTTTTACACTGTAAAATATGATCAATTCACAAGCAGTCTCTTGGTTACACATGTATATCTAGTATTAGATGATTAGCTGGAATAACATGAAGGATTTGAACTGACAACATTGTGGCGCTGGCAAATGTCAAACTAGTACTGAGATGCAACACGCTACACTGTGCACGATATAGGCAATGATGTTTGTCTTACAATAAGTTAGATGCTTTATTACTCCAATAGCTTTCATACAATTCAAATAGAATTATAGCAATTCTTCCTAATAAACATATAGTACAGATACATAACAGATGAACTTACAATTATTAGTGACAAATATTTACAAATTGTCTCACCTCTCTGCTGCTTTCCTCTCCTGCTCCTTCCTAAGCTTCCTCTTGTAGTTTTTCTTCTGAGCAGGAGTCATCCTAAAGAAAGTAAAGAAACACAAGGAATCAAAACATAAAATCTGCGTAACATGTAAAACTGATTCTAAACAGTCTATTCAAGTCTTGAAATACCCTTTGGCAAACTATGTACCGGTACCGGTAGCTGCATTTATGTACTTTTGTTTTTAAAGGGGTTTTACCTGTTTACTGGTCTCTCCCCCAGATGCCATGTCATGAAATGGAGAGTGGATAGCACAATTGCATATAAATAAACAAAAGTTTGCAGTGCTGACTGGGTAGGTGTGTGGGTAGGTTTGTGTGCTTGAGGAAGAGATGTCAGACTTACAGGGCGAGGTCCTTGGCAGTGACTTCCTGATCTCCCTCCTGCTCCTGCTGGGCCTGGGCTGCTGCTGCTGTGTTGTGGTGTTCTGCCTCTGGGGTTTAGAGGTGAAACACATCATCAAATGGTTAGCACAACTTTACAGGTGTTGTCGAGTCTGTTTATGTTGACCAATCAAGGACATGGTCACATCAGACAAGGTGGTCAATATAGACAGGATCCTTAATGCTTGGGTCACTAAGTCAAAGTACAAGTTGAACTGCTTGTTTGAATCTGTATATGGCATCGTCACGCTGGCAGCATCCTTATTTCTGCCCCTGGAAAACGATGTTCCTTGCCTTTTTTATCTGTACATGTAGTAGTATATTGAACTTTAAAGGATAGAATTTAGGAACTACCTTCAATTGCATGCAGAATCTAATTGGCCATTTTAGTTTTGACTACATAATCTCAAAAGACTTGATAATGATAGCCCCTTAAAAACAACAACTTCACTTTAAGTAACACAGGCACTTGACCTTGCCTTAAGACTCACCCCCTTCCCAGTCCTCCTCAGCAGGAGGAGCCTCCCAGGAGTTGTAGGCGGGGACAGCTGTGCAGCCTTTAAAGTATGACCCTTCCTCTCCATCATCCATACTCTGAGCTGTAGGGGAGTCAAATTCACACATATCATCACAGAATCTGTAAGATGTGTAAGAGGTGTTTGCTTGGTTTTGTGAAATTTGCTGGTAGTGAAAGATATGAATTACAGAGACCCTGCTCCTCAATAGGCAGGGGCACCACCCAGCTGTAGGGGGGTACCCATACTGTGGCTAGAAAAACAATAAGTTGTTAAGGGCATAGTTGAGCCTTACAGTCAAGTCTTACGCAGCTTTTGATAATTAACTAGTGAGTTACTACTGGGTATAGACTAGAGACAGTGGCAGTTTACTGGTACAATGTAATGCGAAACAGACATAGGACATACCATGGCTAGCATGATCCTCCAGTACTTTCCTGTCAGGGCAGTTCAAAATGTGGTGGCGATGTTCTCCTATTGTCACAACGTGGCGCGCGTTGAAGGGACAGGTCCGCATGTCATTGCTGGTATAATTCTGCCAATAAGATAAGAATAAAAACATTTTTTCTCAGTTGCTAGAAGTAAAAGTGTGTAGCACTAGTTTACTTTGTAATAGAGGCAAGAAGCTGGCCCAAGTGGACCCAGCAAACAGTTCTACTTACCCTGCGACACTTCATAAGATGATATGGCATTCTTGATGCTCGGACCAGGTGTACTTTGTCATAGGGACAAATGATCAGCTCGTTGGGGTCCACCACGTCCATGGTGCTATACTTCCTGTAGCTGGTCATGGCTGAAAACTGCAGGTGGCAGAAACAGGTGACAAAACATGAAAAACTGAGACTTTTCTCCAACATAATATTCACATGGCCAGATATGAGAAATACAATGATTGTGTATGGAAAACAGTTCAAAATACCATCCAATCGCTGAGGTGACACAATATGCTAGAATGTACTCATAAATTCTTGGCATTTTCTGCAAAATGTTTGGGAATGAAAATTGCACAAAAAAACACTTGCAAGCTAGGAGAATACTACTAGTGCAGGCAAAGTATTCTCCTCTAAAAATTTAGTAAAAATACTAAAATGGATAGTACATGCATATGTATTTCAAGCCGAAAAGTTTCTCACTTGGATACTACTCATTGGATTCCAGACTGTAATTTGAAACTAACCACCACTTTTGGGGCACAAATTAACTCCAGATGGAACACACGAAATCAAAATAAACCCCGCAAGATGTTTTCTCCACGCCTCCACGCATCACTTTCCGTTTCCTCTATAATTTGCTTTTCCTAAAAAAGGAGCAAACAATTGTACTGAAAGAAACTCATTGCAAATATCACAATGGCGTTAAAAAATGCAAAGCTTCATAAATCACTTAGCTCACACATGAGAATATGCAAATGTCGCATCCCCCTCCAGCCCCCCTCCCCAAACCATCTGTGGCACGCATATAGTTGGTGTGAAAGAAATAGAAAACAAAAACACTGACTAGAAGTCGGCTTGAAAAGCTATACATTTCTGCAATTGGTTGGTTTTCCCCGTAGAGATATGTCAAGGTTACGGTTCATAGATAGGTGGCTTCTTATGCACTCTGTGACAGATTTTGGTCCCGCTAGCTGGCTGCTCCCCAAAATTTGTCAAAAACTTTCTCATCAAACTACGGCCCAAAACGAACGATTCCACAAATAAATCCTTACCCTGTATCCTCGGTGGCGTCAGGAAGACGTAAGTTACAAGAGTAAGCCCTAACAGTTGGAAATTTGGGTAGAAATTTCAAGAAAAACACGGCCTTCAAGTTGTTGGCACCGTCACTCTGTCAGTTCTTTGAAAAGTGACAGCCTGACAGGCGAGGGCTTCGCGCACGATGTTGCTGCCCGCTGATTGGTTGAAATCATTTCTTATCGGTGACGTCAGAGAAAATAAACAATTTCCCGAGTTCTGATTGGTGGAGAATACAGAACTTTACGACTTGCGTTCCAGGAAATGCAAACAATCGAACAAAATGCGAAACACATTGCCATTAAATTTTACGGTTTGGGGAATACATTTGGTCCCACCACCTTCTTCCTGCCGATTATTGACATCAAAGAGATACCTGACACCTCTTTGTCGCAACAGATGGTTTCGCGTATGCAGATTTGAGCATCCTGTACAATAAAGTTCTTCAGTCTTAAAAAGGAGGCCAATTTGTTTTATAACTTAATATCGTAGACATTAGAAAGAAACCTAGGGAAAAAAACACAGAATGTAATGATTATTTTCCAATTTCATTTGCGCAAGAAAAGTTAGTCTTTAACTTTCTGCGAATATCGTAAGAATCGCTAGGTGGCGCGAGTTCGTGACGTCACACATGGGCGGGCGATTGAAACATGGCAGCCACAAGCAGAGCGACGGTGGACGAGCTGAAAAACGGTAACGTTAGCCGTCCAGTTTTCACTCGCTGTTTTCCATTTCTCCCAACTACAAGAATCTAGAACAATATGAAGTTCGTTACTGTTTTGTAATCATGTTGATTGAACCAGTTAATGGCTGCCACAACTGTCGTGTAAAAAGTGAGTGATGTGGGGAGGGGGGCGATGTGTAGTTTTTGAAGGGCTGTAACTATTTTTCTTGGCCTTTTCTGTTCATTTGCAAATTTAGAAAGTTTTAAACACTAACTTAACTAAATTTAAAACGTTAAGAGACTAACAAGTTTTGTTATACATGATCTTAATGTGGCCACACAGTGATTAAAAATTATATCACAATATTTTATGCAAATTATATTTTGTTTGTAAAAAATTTGCACATGAAAAGTGTTGCACATGAACTAAACCCCGTGTCAGTACTTACTTGTTACTGTGCCCTGAAGTGCTGAAGGAGTCCCTAGAGGCCCGTGGAGTGATGGGACAGCTACAGGCACGAGTTCGAGCAGAAATCTTCAAGTCCATGCAGGACCCGCTTGAGGAGAAGCCTCGTCTGAACCATGAGAACATGCTGATCAACGAACTGATCCGGGAATACCTGGAGTTCAACAAGTACAACTACACACAGTCTGTACTGCTGGCAGGTCTGGAGAAGATCTTCTTAGATCTAAAATGAAGAGAACATAAAAAATGATAAATGCAAATATGCTGGTAACCTCAACATTTGGCCAATTGCAATGTTCAGATTTCTTGAGACTCTTACAATTTCTTGCCATATACTAGTAAATAACTTACATGTATAATGTGTACAGTCCTGAGTCCTACTCTCTGATCTTCCATGCTTCTATTGATCAACCTATGTTTAAAACAACTACTTTTACCAGTACACTGTTACCAGTACCAGGTACATATGGTCATTGTTTATCGTATTCAGTGACATGATTTTTGTGTAAACAATGGTGTGAAATACTGTTAAGATCTATTATTATTAAAAATCTAGAACCCATGTTTCCATGAATCAGTCTTTCTCAAGTTGTGGTCAAGTCTGAACCTTACAGTAGCATGAACCAACTTGAAGTTATCCCAAAGCCTTAGCTTATTGTGGAACTTCAGTCATCTTACCTAGTACTGGGGTGATAGTCTAATCATACAGTGCCATTGCACTCCTTCTAAACTTCACTCCTGATGACCAGTGTTGTTTCCCTGCAGAGACAGGCCAGCCCAGGACTCCCCTCAGCCGAGACTTCCTGGCTGCAGAGCTGAACATCAGGGAGGACCCAGACACTGCCTCTGTGTAAGTGTTACTTATTCCTGTGTTTGATGATCTGTCTACACTTAAAATACTGCCTTCTTTGGTTCCATTATGTACATGTTTTTGTTTGACCCAAGAACTAGCACCCATGTATGTTCACACCCATATGCATGTACACACAAATCCATACACACACAAATGTACTGGTACATGTATGCACCAAACCATACACAAACCCATTCATGCACAAATCCATGCACACACACACCCATACACACACAAACCCATACACACACAAACCCATACTAGTACATGCACAGACCTATAGTCCAGACATGAATCCATACAGAAATATTCACACACTTACACTGTCTTACATTTACACATGTACATCCATGTACATTTGATTTGCATTTAAATTAAGACTGTCTTGTATCCCCCTCCCCAGCCCACTACTGTATGGCATACTGAACCACTTCACCAGCAGGAGGCAGGAAACAGTTCCCACAGGAAGGTCTGCGGATATCCCATCATCCTCAGCTCTGTACAGACCGCACAGCTCCCCAACTCTGTCCAGTCATCGCTGGTCACCAGTCAGAACAGAACAGACATATGGCAGGGAGAGGGGCAGTCATATGGAATGTAAGGGACTGTTTGTCATGCTAGTACCTGTGTATAGGGAATGTATTTCATGGTCTTCCGATGGTAAAATTACAGCTGCATTTCAAAGTAGCTGTGACAATAGGAATATAAAGCAAGGAAGACCAATGGCTGTGTCATTGTCATTGTGCTTGCCTACAATGCAGCATGTTATATTATGGCGAGCTAGTGTAGTTCAAAGTACATGTGCCTGTAGTTGAATGGACTAGGCTACAGTTACACTGATGTCCAGAGATACTATCATAAGATACCGGTATACTAAGAGTAAGATGACTATGTTGTATATTCTAGGGAAGTGAGTTTTTTTATACAGGGATGTGTGCTATTGATTTGTTTACCCTTATTGCCATGTTATTTGTTTGTTTGTTCCAGATGTTCGAGAAGGCATGGAGGGCCAACCTTTAGTGTATGAAGGAGGAAGGAGATGATGGTTCCAGGACACAGCTGACAGTAACAATGAAATTTGGTACTTGGATCCAAATGAACATTTAGCCGAGATGTTGTAAGGTTCTTTCTGGTATGAAGCAAACACAATAAATGCATGTGTATCCGATTAACAAAAAGCTAGTTACAGGTTGTATTATGAAACAATGGATTGAATATTTAATGACCTTATTATATATCGCAATGTACAAACTTTTAAAAGGGACTAAAAGTAAGGTAATAATCATCTTTATCAGAAACCATCTTTATCAGATATGAGTCTGAAATTTAATATTTTGTCATTTCTATCCCTGGATTGTACATGGTCTCTTCCTAGTCTTCATCCTCTTTGTCTTCCCAGTTGGCTTTGGTCTTTTTTATCCTTCTCTTTCTTAAAAGTTACCTGGGGGGAAGTTGTTCCCAACTTTTCTTGCTCCAATTCCTTTTCACTCTTAGTCTACCTTATCTCACTGTTTTTTACCCATTTATCTCTGTATATACATTTGTATGTCTCTCTGTTTTTAATGTTATGTAAGGATATGCGCCTTTGGTGCCTGAAATAAAGAATAAGTTTAGCTCCAGTGTCTGATTCTTGCTATAATTATACTTGTACATGTACAAAATGTATCTAGTAAGGCCACTTTGTTCTCTAGATTTTGTGTGGCCAACTCCTGCTGTATTTCTTTCTTTGCTTAATCCTCCTTGAACTCATCCCTTTGTCTACATACATGTAATGTAACATTGTATCCACATAATGTATCTCAAACATTGTATCATATTTTCTGTATTCACAGAGAATCTCATGAATCTGTAAAACTGCTGGAGGAGACCCTCTAGTCGTCACAGTCGGATGGCGGGTCGTCTGGGCTGGGCGGGTCGCAGTGTTTGAAGCGGAAAACGATGACATCATCATTAAACACACCAATCAGGTCCACACCTGCCAGGGAGAGGCACAGGGAACGAATCAAAGGAGGTTGACTGCTGCATTTTTATGGAATAACCTAAAAGTACGTAGACAACACATATACATCATGTACAAACATGATACATAACAGTCACTGTGGAGTACTTGTTTACATGTTGGGGGGGGGGGGCTCTTTGTTTGGAGATATGTAAAGTATGTGTATAACTAATGTGTGTATAACTACCAGTAATACAGTGTATTTGATTACTGTGGCTCCTCAAGTAGTACTGGTAATAACACCTTACTTTCTTCTGTGAAATGAGAATACAATGTAATCCTTAAAGATACATTTACCATTGGCACTAAAGAACTGAACTGATGTACAATGTATACTATTAGGTCATTTTATATTGTATAAGTTTTTATCAACTACATGTATGTTGCTATTTAGTGTGCTAATGCAAATTCTACTAGTACAATGTATATGCTTTGTAGAAGAACAAATCCATGTGCAGATTATCATGTTTGAGTGATTCTGTTGTACAGTGAGGTGCAAAAGATTTATAATTGTTGAACTGCAGCCTTCTGTCTTACCACGGTCAAACTTGACTTTCTTCTTGTTCTCAAAGCGCCAGAAGGTCCTGTCTTCCTCGCTGGCTGCCACACCGTTGATGGATGTAATCATGTGGGATGAAAGAGATCCATAGTACTCTGCCTGGAATCTAGCCAGGGGAAAGATCACACCAATTCATGTCCTTGTAGTTCCAAAATGAAAATTCAGCAAGAAGTCAACATGAAAACAGAGGGAAATTCTTGGAACCTGGATGGGTCACTTTGGTACAATGCAATCAGAGATGGCAGACTTCACCCCCTTAAGTTTTACCCATTCTACTTTGCAGATTGGACGGGAGCACAGAGAGTCCTAAAAAAGTAGTTCACCCCCTATTCTTTAAGTTGCACCAATCTAGTTTCTTTTTTTTTGGTTGTGGGAGCTTCATACATTAACCTCGGGTTTGAAACCTCTGCATGTACAATGTAAAAGTATACAGATATTAGTTTAGTTAAGCTTCACATCTTATTTTCAATTATCTGAACTTGCATTCTCAAGATACAAGAACCACATCTTGGAAATTAGTATGATGGTGTTGGGATTATAATGGGGTACTACTACTGTTTCATTCTTCAGAGAGATCCGTGTTGGATGATATTCATTTTACAGAAACTCACGTGAAGTTGGGGTCGTTAGCTGATGCCTGGAGCAGCAGAGTATACACGGAGCTCCGCGGTGGGACAGATACACAAGCCTCGTACGGCTGGAACCCTGGGTCAAGGTCGTTTTTAACCTTCAAGGTCACTGTTGCCAAGCCTGTACCTGATAATGAGAAGTGGTCATTAGGAAGAATATAACAAAAAGGTACAAGAAAGGTAACATTTGAAATGCAAAATGTTTACCTTCACCTGTACATGAGGATGGTCTACCCCAACATGAACAACTTGAACATTCATATACATGGTGACCAGCATTATGTAATGTAACACCAAAGGGTGTCTGCTGCAAAGGTAGACATAGTTAAAAAGTAATATCAATTAATAGCCTCTTTGGTGCCAAAAAGGTACAAGGGAAACAGAAAGGATGGCAAAACGGTTCCAGGATAGACAGACAGCGCTTGGTAAGCACTGTCCCTGGGGCGTTGGCCAATGCAAAAATGTCCCTTCCAAGGGTGGCGAATGCGGCAGAAAAAGATGGCTTGAGACGGATTATATCCGGATTGCAACAAGCCGGATTCAATCCGGATTACTTGCTGGATTGCATATATAATATACTGGTTTCGGTGAGGGAGAAACGGGCATGATTGTATTACACTCGGAGTCGTCAACATTCCCCCTCCCCACCTGGTCCTTTGCTGCCCAAGACTATCGCGTCCGCTTCCTCCTCATGTCTCAGAGATGGAGATAACGGTTGACCCTGAAGGATGGCGTCCAGCTCCTTATAGAAAGGGCAAGACGCGCGGGTACTATCCCCGCTTGTCTTGTCATGTTCATTATACGCCTTCGCTCTCCTATATTTGGCTTTCATGTTCTTGATTTTGCTCCTGCACTGGGCGGCTGTCTTGTAGTACCCGCGCGCTGCCAGCGAGGCGGCCAGGTCTTCATAAACCACCTGGTTACGGTACGTGTCGCGGAGCTTGTTCTGCATCTCCCGGCTCCCGTACAGGGACATCAGCACTTTCACCTCCTGCTTCGACCAGGTTGCATAGATTGGTTCCAACGCGGCCATCATAAATTATCTTAATTTTAAACAAAGAAAGCTTTTAAAAGACAGACGAGACGCTATTATAGAAGAAATATGTTAGAACAGAAGTTTTGAATAATTTTAGTTGTTCGTGTACGTGTATTTTCGCCTGAGTACGGCAGGCTGCTTTTGCACACGGTCCCAAGGATGAAAATAACAGTGACCCCACGTACCCGGAGTATGACGTCATCATCCCTAGATCGATCTTCACGTACTGAATGCTACACGAATCCGGATTGGTCCGGCTTAAATCTGGCTTTAAGCTGGCTTAATCCGAAAGGATGGAGGCGATTCTGGCCATACACATGTACATTCAGGCAAGGGGTTGGCAAATTTAAATCCATGCGCAAGGTTCTCAAAACCAAGGAGGTTTAAAATTAATACACATCCCCAGAGGATCTGTACAACCGTTCCGAATTTAGAAGGGCCGACAACACTCGCCGATGAAAATGCTTTTCTTGTACATCAGCGAACTATCTAGGAGAGTATGGCACTGTGCAATATGTCACATATCTATCTTGGCTCTTTTTCTTTTGTTTTTTCTTTTTGGATGACACACCCCAACCCATTTTGAAAACTGAAGGTCTACAGGTTGGGCTGTACTGCGTACGTGACCAACTAGATATAAGCAATGGAGTGCTTTGGCGGGACCTAGTCTACATGTAGTATAAGCTGAATTGCTGTGAATATTTAAATGCTTTTTCTATGTTTGCTGGAGTTTGATACGTGGAGAATATTTCATGACAGTCTAAACGAAAATTGAGTCATGGAACATCCCTTTTTTACTGCACACGTACCAGGTGGCTCCCACCCTCCTGCGCTAGCTACAAAGGTGTGAATTCAATGCCAAGGATTGAGAACGTAAAGTTCTTTCCAGTACTAGTGTCGACCATTTGTTAACGTTGAAGCGTTAAACGTCGATCCGCCCGCGCGTGACAGTGGATCCATCATTTGCCACCACTGTTTATCCTGTGTGCGGAACCTTTACTTCGTACCTTCCGGTTCAGTACCAATACGTTCGTTACGCCACGTACTCCAGGTGTGTCCAAACAGGGCAAGAACAACAATATCCAAACAGGCAATCATCGCATGATCAGGGGCTATTTTGTTGCCATTTTTTGCCATTCTCTAGATCTGCGTTTCGCATGCTCTCTCGCGTAATGCTAAAAATAAGCAGCCACGAAAATGGTGACAAATAACGTTAACCTATCGATCTCATCCGGTTGGAGATTTGAGATAGCAACAACAAAAACAGAATTACATTGCTGAGAAAGATTTCCTCCATGTACATACATTAAGTACGTGGGCCCTTTAGTTGTTGCTAAGCTTCAACGCTTGTAAACCGTCCTCGCGATCGGTCTCACCATATATCTTAAGAGTTATAAAAGAGGTTCGACAGGTTGTTTTTGTAGGGCGGCCCTTCTGTTTTCTTCCTCTTAGGTTTCATTTTTTTCTGTTTCCTTTTAAACGTCCTGTTTCAAAAACAGTCAAGTCTTGAGTGAAACTACGTATACGCGCTCTCACTCGGGCAAGTCCCCTCCAGATGGAAGGAAGCAAACGTGACACCTATCCACAAAGGAGGTAGTCGTCATGCCCTCAACAACTACAGGCCAATATCACTTCTGAACAGTATCCCCAAAGTATTGGAAAACCTTGTAAACAAACGTTTAAATGACCACATTCGCCCAATGCTGACAAAACACCAAAGCGGATTTCGAGCGTACGACAACACTACTCTCCAACTGGTCCGACTTGTGGACGAATGGACAAAAGCTATGGACAAGGGAGAGGTGGTTGGTTGCGTCTTTCTGGATCTGCAAAAGGCTTTTGACAAAGTCTGGCACCATGGTCTTCTGGCCAAACTAGCAGGTTACGGAATCCGTGGGTCCCTCCTAGAGTGGTTTTGCAGCTACCTTACAGATAGACGTCAGCGGGTGGTTGTCAACGGCGCAACATCCGACTGGAAGACACCCCTTGCTGGCGTCACCCAGGGTTCTATCTTAGGCCCAACACTCTTTATCTTATACATTAATGACTTACCTTCTAGATGTACAACATGTGAGGCGAATCTGTTCGCAGATGACACCTCTCTTACTGTAGCTCACCGTTCCATCAACACAGTTGTAGACTCACTGAACACAGATCTGGCTACAGTTTCCGAGTGGCTACAACACTGGAAACTAGAGGCTAATAGGGACAAATGTAAAGTTATGTTTCTCACTACCCGCCCCCTCCCACAAAGGATCCCCCCGGTCATCTTAGCCGGTACCACCTTACAGATTGTCCACAGTCACAAACACCTGGGTGTGACCCTAACCAGTAAACTCACCTGGTCTGCACACGTCGAAGCCATGACAAACAAGGCAAGACGTACTGCTGGAATGCTCTGCGCCCTTCGGAAAAAGGTGCCCAAGACCATACTACTACAACTGTACAAAATCATTGTCAGACCAGTTCTAGAATACGCTGATATCGTCTGGGGTGGTCTCACCATGCGTGATCAAAAGACCATCGAATCGGTCCAATACCGGTCAGCCAGAGTGATAAGTGGACACCACGGGATTCCTTATCCCTCTCACAAATCTCTCTATTCTCAGTTTGCCCTCCCTACACTTACTTACCGTCGTAAGGTTCACGCAGTAACCACTCTGTACAAATTGAAGAATGGTCACTGCCCGCCCCACCTAGCTAGTTTATTACCTGTTACCAGGACATCCGCCATACACTCCAGATACCCCCTCAGAAATGGAAATAATCTTTGTGTACAAATCCCCAAAAGCTCCAGAACACAGAATGCCTTCCTCCACAGAGCCACCCTCTTATGGAACTCCCTCTCAGTTGACATTCAATCGGCCCCAACACTGTCTTCTTTTAAAGCTAAAGCATGGAAATCCTTCGGGGATCCATATTCTATTTAACTACACATCACATTTGTGCCACCTCCCGACTTAACAGTTGTACATATTATCCCCGAGTCGGCAACTTTGTAAATACTTGGACTCTACCACTCAAACAATATGTATTTCATAAATGTAAGCACATATTATTGTTATTGTATTTGGATTGTAATATGTATTTTATGTATGTATAACGTTTCTTCCTACTCCCCAGGGTGTCCCTTAATAATAGTCTCTGACTAGTTGGGACACCCTGGCTTCTTTGTAAGCCAAATAAATAAATAAATAAATAAATAAATACGCGCGTTACGAATCCGGGCCAAGCAGATTTGCGGGAGGATCAGTTGAGCCCACTGTGAGCATCCTCCCGAGGCAGGGGTGCTTCCGTACTAGGCTAACTAACGTTTTTGCCGCGGGATAGCTCTGTCGTGGGGGGGGGGGGTGACTGTGAGTTGAGCCTTGAACTTCGAACGCTGACATTGATACTCGGATGTCAACACAGAAGACAATGGGGCCCCGGGACCAGTTACCGTAAAGTTATGTAGAGCTTTGGGCGTTCTGCTGTACGTGTACTTATCCGTGGACGCGACGCCACACACCACAAGCCATATGTTCTTGGAGACCAGTGTTTTAACATGCTGTCTTTACTAATGCGATTACTCACTACGATACAGACATTTAATCCTCAAAACTGATCATATAGAGGTCGACCATAACATAACTAAAACCCCCCTGTCTAAACATGTACTGTTTATATATGCCATATTATGATATGCAGGTGTTTTTTTTTTCAATGGAAGGATTAATTCACCTAACAGTCTTACCTGCCATTCTTCAATTAGTCAAACACAATCTCAGACTATAGCAGCAGTTTCAACGCAGAGTACTAGTAGAGCGGCGGCGCGTTGGTGCTCAACTCAGCAGGGAGCCTTGACTACTCCTGAGTGGCAAGTTAAAACTACTTTCACTTTTGACAAAAGCCTGTTAGTGCCGGGTGCAGACCGGTGCGTCACAGTTTCGATGGTGACCAACTTTTTTTTAGTTACACGGACGTGATTGTTGTCACGTTTGGTGTGCAGGGTTCTGTTTATATCGATTTCGCTTGGGGAACAATATAGTGCAATACGACACCTATCTGCAAAAATTATATTATGCCCACATGCAGTGCAGGGGAAAACTTTTCATCACCTTTGCCTGTGACTATCGTAGCTATTTTCCCTAAAAATGTGTTGGATTAAAAAAATTGTTCTGCATAAAATTGTTCTGCATATATAATTTATCGTTCATTCATGTAACAGATTGATTGATAGCCTCGCTGGAACATAACAATGCTGCACTTTGGGTACTAATCGCAGTGCGGCGCTTCTGTGCGGTCCAATGTCGGGAGAGTACACAATGACGTCATGAACATGGCGGCTGAACAGACGAGTCTAGAGACGTTTGTTTGTTCGGTTTGATCCTGTTACGTTTTCCGGCTGTTTTCGTTGTGATGTAGGTGAGTACACCTTTCTTACGTGTTTTTCGTAAACTACACGTTGTAGAATTTATCACACTTTATCCTAACTGTCGATAGTTATGATACTAGATGAACGCAGTGTCTAAAACCTAATCTTTTTAGTTTGTGAAAAAAAATTCAACTACTAGTAACTGCCAACTTTCCCATAGACCTACTGGAAGTTACATCGCGATCTGGAAACGTTTGGGGTGTTAAGCAAGCGAGCAATCAAAAATACAAACTACCAAACGCAACTGATATATGTATATATATGTTTGGACGTTTGATTTTTACGTAGGCAGCAAAAAATGACACCCGTCTGAATGTAGGTTATCTCCAAGTCCAAGCCCCCCCCCCCTCCAAAAAAAAAATTGTTAAACAGACGCATCGGATATACATTTCAGTAGCTGCTGTAATTTGTTTTACAGAACCTGGACACTCGTTGGCGTCTCAAGCTTTCAGGTTTATTTCCCAAGGGATTAGTGAGGCTGTGGTGTTGCCAAGCAACGAAAACTGTGCTGCCAGCACTCTAAAGACATAACTACAATGTACTCATCTAGACGATCAAAATCATTTACACATCATAACCATTTTTCATTTCGTCTGCTTAGGAAGTTCAGGCAGACATTGACGATTTAGAATTTCTATTCTAGGAACAGTGTTACAATGTTGAGGCCAGAAATGTCTATTTATTTTACATGCCTTTATGGTAGTGTTGGTACTTGGTAGTAACTAGGTACAATATAGCAATTAGCATTATGAATATGATAGAGAAATAGAAATACTAGTACCCCATGGAAGGCATGATGGTGTTTCAGATGGCCAACCCGTACATTCGAATTCACTTTTTTCAGCAATAAAGTTTGTCGTTTGAGCATGGAGGTATAGTTTGTGGCTTTCTGTTCATACAAAATTCCCATTGACAACCCAACTCAAAATTGACATGTATGTTTGTTCTAGACATAGCACAAATTGACCTATACCACTACCAGCGTCAGTTCTAGTAATAAATTGTGTTCTCTGTTCACAGAATTGTTGCTGATCGTGTGTTAAACCTTACCCAGATTGTAGCCGTCCCCACCGCTCCGATGTTCCCTCCGTACGACGTCTTCGCCCGTACGCTATCCCACACCCTTGCCGTCCTCTTCAACTTTGCCTGGAAATGCCGCTTCCGCCTCCCGGTGTTCCTCACAACGCTCTTCCTCGCTTTCGACATCCGCCTGCGACTGGAAATCAACCTGAACCGGTAGAGCGCCGGGCAGATGAAGAAGAAGAAATCCCCCTCCTACCCTGATTCCTTGCTGTGTGATTCTTCCTACTTTTCTGTATGAAAAGACTTGGCTTCCTAATTTATTCCAATCTCTATCCCTGAAATGCTTATCATGTGTGCTATTGTCGAGAAAAGGAATTGCAACCACTGCTAACAAACAAGACCCCAATCAACTGGATTCTTCCTTTGCTTAGCAAATCTGACCCAGCAAGCAGTCTTTTTGTAAAACATGAAAAATTTGACTACAACAATAATTAAAAGTCTCAAGAGAGTATAGACAGTTGGTGATTTTTTTTCTGAACTGCTTGTGGACTCTATAGGATCAGGAATTTGAAGAAGTAGCTTTTGCAAGACCTTTAATCATATCCAAGCTTGAATTTGAAACAAATTGAACTATTTCAGTATTTGTGTGCTAATTTCGAAGATAAGATAAAAGATGGCTCGAAGTGTGAAGGACCTGCGTGAGTTGATCTGCCTGTCACGTCTGACGATACGCGACAGCGATGAAGAAATGGAGTTCAGCGACACGGAGATGGAATTTGGAAGCTGGAGAACTTCTTCCTCCATGGAGAACGGCGATGCCATGCCGTACCAGGCAGGGGAAGGAAGCT